ACAGAATCTGTTACATTGAACCGTTTTTTCACAAATTCACATTCAGGTATACTCAGAGCTGCTCCCTGTTTAGCTATTATAATGTGCTGTGAGATTATTTAAATTTTTTGTCCTTCAGTTTCTTCCTGCCATTTCTTTTCTATTCTTTCATCTCTTTCGGGATCATATATCATTGTACAATGAAATTCTGATTTTAGTAACTGTGCTTCTGGAATCTGTGCCTCAATAAACTTTCCCCATTTATTAATTGTCTGTCTCACATCTTGTCTATCTGTCCTATCCAATAAACATTTGCTTTTGGCTCTACAGCCATCATCTGAGTTTCTATTCCTATTGTGTCTATATATACTGTGTGCATTTGGAGGGACTGCTGTGGGTGGGCTTGGCTGAATAGCTAGTGGAGGAGCATTCACTGGAGACATCACTGTCATTTGTTCTGATTCTTATTTCTTTACTGAAGCTTGAATCTTTTTCTTATTCTTTTTTTGTTAGTTCTTCAAGTTGTAATTGAGTAAATTTTCTCTGTAGCTCTTTCTCTTGGTTCTTGAGCTTCTGTTCATTTTTTCTGTATTGCTCCACTGCATGAGACACATGGTCACAGAACTCTTTGTGTGTTTTAGAGTTTAAGCCGACCACGTCCTCCAGCCTGCTCTTTACAGCTTGTGGCATGGCATCTATCACAGCATTTCTAAACAATGTTGCCATTAATGGGTCTCCTTCTGGATTCCCTTCAGTTTCTTGCTTCCATCTTTTCAGCTGTCTCTGGACATATGTGGTTGGATTTTCTGTTTCCCCCAGCTGTTCTCCCTTTAATGATTTAGGGTCCAGTCTGATCGGGTACTCAGCACGCAGTGCCTGCCACACTGCTGGACGGAATGCATCAAAAACAGTTCCATCCATGTAGTGAGAGTCCACAGCTCTGTCCAGATTGGATGCTTGAAGAATTTCTTCCATCTTTGCTCCTCTTATAATCTTTGCCAGCAGTGCTTTAATGTCTCCCAAAGCTAAAAGTTTGCCCATAGTTTCTTCTTTAAACACATTAATCCACTTCCCAGCCCCCTCATGGATGTCTGGGAGGCGAGTGACCAGCCCCTCAAGGTCCTGTGAGGCCCAGGGGACATACTGTCCCTCTGTACCCTTAATTAAAATCTGGAGTTGTGCAGCCAGTGGTCTATGTCTTCCTTTATCTCTTCCTCGTCCCCATGTTCCTTTATCAAATGATGGCTCCTCCCCTTCACTCACTTCCTCTCTGCTGTCTAATAGTTTACTTCTATCTCTCACCAATTTATCTGCATCTTGTATTAATTTTTCTGTTTCTTAAATTTTCCTTCCTATTTCTGCTTCCATAGCCTCTGCCCTTTTCAATGAGTCTTCTCCTTCCTTTTTGAACAAGGCTAGCACTTATTTCTTCTAAACTTTCTTTTTACTATTGCCTTTAGTTTTATGATTTTTTATCAGAGTTTCCATTTCCTCGCACAATGCTACATCAAATGTCCCTTCCTTTGGCCATTTTGTCATCATTTTTTTAGTTCTCTGTTGCCATTTGTTTGAGAGCTTGTCTATCAGTTCTTTACACAATGGATATTTTACTCCTAATATTTCCACCGGAGTGGCTGCCATAATTTTTCCAATAATATTACAATCCTATATTTAAAGCTCAATATATATTTTTATACAATAATTTAACTTACTATATATTCTCCCCAACTTCATTTGCTTCTTTTAACCGCTTTCTCCTATTTTCTTCTGTACTATGCACTTTTAAGCTTAGTATTTATTATATCACATGAGTGTGCACATTTTCGATATTTGAATTTATACTCTAAATCCTATTTTTGATCACTTAGCGTCCAAAAGTGCCAACCAATAACTAAGACCTATATATTCTTTGTTTCTGTTATAAAAATTATTTTATCAGCAATTTAATTATTTAACTTAGGGCATATACCTCTATTATATTCTACTATCTGAACTGCATTAGTTTCCTAAATATTCTCCCTATCTCCGTCACACAATATATGCATTCAAACATGTATGAAAAATCTACAATGCCAATATCTTGATCCAGTCTTTATTGAAACAATTTTTCTAAACACATTCACTCCTTCTAGTCCCTTTATTCACAGGGCTCATACATTCATTCATCCCTCTCAGGTGCGGCACTAACTGCATCCGACTCTGCCAGGTCACACTTTAGTGGCGGTCCAGGAGGGGTGCGCAGCTTTTGCCCACCCAATACAGAATTTAATGTTCTCATACAACCATAGTTATTCACACAGACACAGACACATACATTAAAACATACTTAAAAACAGACTACACTACACTCTTCCTGAGTGACCTGTCAGTTCTACTCGCTCTTTCACTGATACACATCCTCAACACAGTAAAGAAGCAGTACCCTGCAGGAATTTTTGCCTATCCGTTCAGACCTCTGTACATTCCTTACAACTTTTTACAGAGCGGTATCCACAGGAATTTGCGCGTTTCTTTATACTTTATCTGCTTAATGTTTATTGCTATCCTTCAAAGGCCCACTTAACAATAAACACAGACCATTGCATGCATTTAGTTATTCTGGAATCAAAACCCTTTTTTCTTTTTGTTCCTTAAATTTGGAGGAGCAAATTTCGAGTGTTCTTACCACAAAGGGCATACCGGGCGAACAACACTAAGTATATAAGCAAAATCTGCTTACCTTAGTGGCCACCGTCAAGCCACCCCAATGTGGTCTTCCACCCCTGCTCCTTTCCAGCCCCACGTTGGGCGCCAATTTGTGGTGGCTTCTGCCGCTGCTGTGAAGAATCTTTTTATAATGTAATACATAAATGGCTATGTTCACATTGATTATACTTGAATAATTTATATTTTGATTAATTAAACTCTTCTTCAGTCGTTGCTATGTTTGACAGTGATAAATATTGTAGCAATTGACGGAATTAATTATCCGACAAGCCGATGTCAAAATAGAGCTGTGCATTAAGTGATGCAGAGTAAATTCAGCAGCAACTGTGTTGGTTGAATATATATCAGCTTCTACCGTTAACAATGAAATATCTAATGCATTATTATTTAATTATTATACCATTAATAATTAACTTATTTATTTATACTTTAGTACACTAAAAGTACAAAAAATTGGTTAAATATTAATTTTATAATAAATGCAAAAACAAGATGTCACAAAAACTAAGGAGTGGAAATGGCAACTGATCCTCTACTGCCATCTACTGGTTATAATGGTAATTTCATGTCATTTTCATCTTAAGTCTTTGTTTTACATCAAGAGACACATTTTTGGCCATTTTTTTCATCTTCATGAATGAAAAGTGAATATTTGAAGTGAATTTTACTGCACAACTGTAGAGTTAAAAATAATATAGGCTTTAAAATATTTTAAGTGTTTAAAAAATGTACACTATAGACCAGGGGTGGGCAAACTTGGCCCTCCCAGGCCACTTTCCTTCAGAGTTTAGCTCCAACCCTAATCAAACACACCTGAACCAGCTAATCATTGTCTTCAAGACTACTAGAAGGCTACAGGCAGGTGAGTTTTGTCAGGGTTGGATCAAATCTCTGCAGGAAAGTGGGCTGGAAGGGCCAAGTTTGCCCATCACTGCTATAGACAAACAGTGGGTAAAGGGCAGTGTGTGTTTTGTTTTTTTTTTGTGTTATATATTAATGTATCTCACTCCAGCCAGGCAACCAATGTTGGCAACCCTGATATATTATAATATAATTTTAGATTAAAGTTTTTGTCTTTTCTGTAAAAATAACTTTCCTGGGTATATATTTTTAATAAACAATTCTGTTTCATAAACCTGGCTACTAGAGCATATCACACCAGTCCTCAGGTCCTTACACTGGCTTCCAGTTTTATTTAGGATTGATTTTAAAGTACTTTTACTCGTTTATAAATCACTCAATGGCCTAGGACCTAAATACATTGCAGATATGCTCACTGAATATAAACCTAACAAACCACTCAGATCATTAGGATCGAGTCAGTTAGTAATACCAAGGGTTCACACAAAACAAGGGGAATCTGCTTTTAGCTATTTTGCCGCCCGCAGTTGGAATCAGCTTCCAGAAGAGATCAGATGTCAAATCTAGACTCAAAACTCATCTGTTTAGCTGTGCATTTACTGAATGAGCACTGTGCGATGTGCGAACTGATTGCACTGTATTTTATGTATGTATATTTATTTTCTATTTTTAACGGTCTTAAATTAATTTAAAATCATTTTTTAAATCATCTTCAAAGTTTTTAAATTCCTTGTTTTGTTTTTGTGATTATTTTTTTTATGATTATTTTACTTTCTTTTATGTAAAGCACTTTGAATTACCATTGCGTACGCAATGTGCTATATAACTAAACTTGCCTTGCCTTACTAATAACAGCTTAACTTTATTTACCTTTGCCTACCTTTGGGGTCTTTGCTATTATATTCCAATATCATTATGCCTCAATTAGTTAGTTATAGATTAAGAGTTGTTGTTTTTTATGTACAGATGGCTTGCTGCTGTGTTTAATAATTTATGTTGTTAAAATAGCATACTTTTCTGTAAATGCATTGTCTGCTGGTTTATTTAGCTACTTTTCAGTACACCACATTATATGCCACTTAGTACTGTAAGACTTATAATGTTAAAGTGCAAATTAACACCTGACCACTCTTGTGGGTTTGCTGCTGTTACAATTAATAATCACAGAAGGGTAAAACCATTGGTATGATGTAAGAAGCACAGCTACAACAAATAAAACTGATAATGGGTGAGTTAGAATTATAGTTTGCGAATAATCAAGCATTGACAGTCGTAATGGCGACACCGAGGGGCCCCAAATAAAATTCTGCTTAGGGCCCCATAAAGGCTTGGGCCAGTCCTGTTTTTGCCATTAGAATATTGAACACTGTATTTATCCCCCCTACAAAAATAACAAATATATGCTAATTCAGGGCGCTCTCCTTGCCAAATTGCCCAAAATTGCTCATTTTGCGGCGTTAAAATGAACATTCCGTTTATTTCTCCTCTGAAAGACTTTACAAATATCTGCAGGAAAAGTGATGTCATGCAAGCCACTCGTCCAAATTCCTGTCTTCTATTGTTTGCAAATCTGCTGGTGTGTTTTTCTAAGTTTTATTGCCAGTAATTTTATCAAGCACCAAATCCAAAATTTTCTTTGTGTGTTTGAAAATTTCTCTGCAGGCTATTGCAACTTATCACATGTCCGTGTTCTTGTTTGTTGCTTCACTAAACTCATTTGTTATTCAAAAAAATTCAACATAGGACTAAATGAACTGGTTTATTTAAGTTACAAATATCACTGAATCAGCCTAAATGCAATAATTTATGACAAGGTATACCAACAAAACAATTTTATGTCAAGTTTACTTTGTACATTGTCATTTCTATATAGCCGTAATTCAAAGCAAGTAGCCTGACTTTACCACATCGACAACGACTGTTTGCTCACGTAATATTTTTTGTTTTAATGTGTATTGCATTATGCATATTGCAGATGATGAAATATTCAGAGCATGAACATTACCATTGCTCAGCAGCATTTTATCTTTGAGGAATGCGTTAAGTATAAAGACAGCCAAGGTTGTTTGTTTAAAATATCTCTTAATGAAATAAAATGAAGTATACATTGACTTGCAAATCATAACTTAATGTGTTATAAATGGCATAACACATGCTCATGTGAGTTTTTGATTGCAAAAGTTTGATTGTTAAAAATAATATAAAATTCGTATAGGCTATTCATTAAAATTCATTGGAAAAAAGTAGCCTAATCCTACAATGACAATATAAGCAAGAATTTAGTTGAATCAAATTGGCTGTGAAAGTCGTTTCAACTTATTAAACTGACTTAAAAATAATTAGTTGCCATGGCTTTTTGATCATATTATTATTACCTGTAACATATCTGTGCCGTACTCATATTAAGAATTAACGACCATTTCTACAACCATTGAAAAGACAGCAGAGAAAGAGCGAGTGCGTATTCACCTCAGCAGCAAACCAATCTTGCATCTGTAGCACTTATTTTGGTGTTAAATCTTAGATCTGTCCTATTCTTGGAACAAAATTAATGCTTAAGGTTGATTCAATATTACTGTTAATGATTTTTTTTCACACTCAACATCAGCAATAGTAGCCTACAAAGTCACTTATTAAACCTATTTTTTTTTTATGAACAGAACGAAAACTGACGTTGCCTAGCACAAATAAATAAAAGGTTTTTGGATTTTCCCCTTACTTCAAGCGAATGCTTAGTTTGTGGTTTATTATTATTAATATTAAATGTATTTAATACATACATTTTTATTAATTTTTATTAATTTATGTATTATATTATTTATATATTTATTATTAATAAAAATAGAGTAAAATAGTACAATGACATTCACTTATTTTAAACTTTGAACTTTTATTAGCCTAACAAAATGAATAAGGATAATAAGTTTTACCTGCGTTGTAACACATCTAAATAATGTAGAGCCTTGCACGGGCCTCCAATCTAGGCCCTTGTCCGACAGCTTATCAGAATTCTTCAGCCCGAGTCCGACTGGAGCCCGTGTCTTTTCTCACTTGCCCTATCATACACAGCTGCTGTTGCAGCCATTAAAAGAGTGCAGTTTTGTTTTTGATGGCAAAGTGGTTACATTTATTTTCATTTCTTTATTAAGTTAATTTAGATATATAGTCTATTTGGAAAATAATTTTGTTTGTTAAATTTAAGTTTTTGTTATAAGTATACGCCAAGCTGCCAGCGGCAGACAGTGAGTTGATAGCCTTCTCAAATCATCATGTCTTGCCTAAAATAAAATCTATAGATATAGGCCTAAAACACTTCAAGTATATCACAATGTTAGTTTAAACGTTTAACCTAGATAAATGTTCGCTATTAGACGCATATCAAATCGTTTGTGCAGAGAGTGGAAGCTAAAGCGCGCTTTACAGGACATGGAGGCGGCAGCGCCATCACTTGCATTTTTCTTAATAAAAGTGAAAACAACTTAAAATATTATGATATATTAACGAGGCAAACCACCAGCAAATGCCATCAACACGTTTTACTCTGGTAAACACATACGTCAATACACTGCAACACAACACATCACATGACAGTCAAATACTGGCTCCCAAAGTTGGGAACCAATGAGATGCCAGACATCAACCAAGTAATTACAAATACACATTATCCCAATACACCACAAATATGCTGACATTTTTGCTCATAAAGATAAGAGTAATACATCATTCTACACTGTAAAGGGTCTACTTTTATTTGTGTGTGCTCACAACAAAACGTTTTAA